CACATCTGGATTAGCAGTCCGTCGAGGACAATCGATCACACGTTGTTCTGGTTCTGCGTTAGTTGTGAGTCCTTTGATTGGTTAAAAATTCTTGCAACAAAAAACGCGAATTAGCGCAGGGAGAAAACCCAAAACAAATCGTGCTAGTTTCCTGTTCCCAATTTAAAATTGTCGTTTAATATTCAAAACTTAATGTAATAGTTTCTTGACAAGGACGCTTGAAAAGCTCTACGCCGATCCCTTTCACTTTCATCTGAGAAAAAGTTCTTTTGACGTTTAGTTGACGTTTTGCTGTTTTTAGGCAAGGTTGGTAAACAAAGATTACTTCACAGCTGACGAGTGCGTACGAATTTTATTCACGAGCTGTGAAGAATCGGTAAACGAACGAGTGCGAGTGCAGCGAACGAGTGAGTCTGCGATTCTTCACAACAAGCAAATAAAAATCGTGCAAGCCAATCAACCATGTAAGTGGGTTTTTTTTATTATATGAGTACTGAAATATTACAAATGTTTATAACTTTCAGGCACGGTCAAATGACCACAAGAAACAAACAAATCGTGAAATGAATATCCCTTTCATTTAAAGCCACTCAGAGTTATTAAGACGCCTAAAATACTGAATTCGACTTTGCTTAAGGTTATCGTATACCTTCAGAGCACCTTCAATGGGGTCTCGCGTCCAAACGATGTAGCGCGTCCGGTTTAACCTGTAGATCTATACCCGAACCCCTATATCAAATTAAAGCTTAAAGAGCTGGCTATCTCACTATACTAAGAATTTTGAAATAAATGTATTGTCGAATTTTTCACGACCTTTAAATGGAGTCGATTCTTTACAGTTTGAACAAAGCCTTCCGAATGAGGCTCTGCTGACACTGTAGTTTGCTACAAGGCTTATCTCTAGCCTGAGAGAGCCCGTTTTGCTGCAGCTGCATGCTAAAGGACTGGCGAGGAATCAAGACAAAAAAAAACTACTAATTCTAAATTATGAGTTTTTAAGCATATTTGGATACAATACAATACAATAAGCTTTATTTATCCACGGTATAGCGATTAAATCTGTAGGCTTTTAAGATAAAAGAAAAAATAATAAATATTGTGTTCTACTACGGATAAGCCGTCCGTCGAGATTAATCGTGTTTCTTTTGAAGTTCTGCGTTTACGAGAACTGTGATTGGTTCAACGGAAAAAAATTAATTGTGCAACAAGATAATCCTCAAGGTGATCCTTGTCAAATTAATTTTAGATATGGTGAACTTCTCGATTGGCTTTAGCAACCTTGTTCTAGGACTTTTCCCTTTGAGAGGGAAAATGCCCTTCGAACGAGATTGTATTTCTAGATCCTCCTGACATTTCTAAAGCTGCGAGTGATCTCAAAATTAACTTGAGAAGGAATACCGCTCCTTCATCCTCTATTGCATCCGCCAATACATCGACACTTAAATAAAGTGATTATGAATATTATTATTATTATTATTATTGCCCGCCATGCAAAGTCTTTCTTTTTATGCGGCAAATGGTGATTAGTAAACAATGGTAAAAACCAAGCTCTGGTCTTTTTGTCACAGGAGGAGACTCCTTTTCTATTTATTATATTCTTCAACGTTTATCATTATTTGGGCAAATTTCTGTTTCCTTGAGACTAACTGATTTTTTTTTTCTGCCAACTGCAATGCTCGCAGCTGTTCAACAGCGAAAAGGCTATCAATATGAGAATTCTCTAACCAAACACAGTTATTGGTTGCGAGTTTCGTTTTAGTGCAATCATAAATGAAAATGTTCTTAATAGTAATTATACATCAGCCTAAAGTACAATTACTTCCCGGCGTCATGTCTTTGGCGGCGCAGCCTTAAAATTAAAGATGATATTGCAATTATTATGTGTCCTTCTTCAGTACAGATTTTAACAAAATAACCAATACCGATCGGAAGAGAAGAGTAAAGCACGCGAAATTTAATAAAAAAATGTTACATAGATTTCAAAAAAGGTCGTTTGGCTTCATATTGGTTTTCTTGAGTGTTTAACGCGCAGTTTAAATACATACTGTTATTTGATTAATTCCCGTGGCAGTTTAATAGCACGCAGGTACAAATCTATTATCAAGTTTTAGCTTCCATTGCCGCACGCGCTGCGCTGTTGATCTTTTTTCCGTTTCATAAAGCACAACCTCAAATACTCGTCAATCGTCCAATAAAGTTCTCTGGAAGGAATATAATGCAACATGCACAGTGATAATAACCAGGAGACGAAACAAATTAATTAATTTCAACTGAGGTCCCACTGCAGGAGGATCATACCCTTCTGAGAAACTTGTGTTTTGAGTTAAAATCGTCCGGAAAGGCGGATAAATTTTTTTGCAGCTAATATGAAGATATCGTTAATAATCTTTGCAGGTCTTTTCACCACTTATTCAGGTACGCTTTTGTATTTTAGGTCTGTGCAGAATAATGCGCATATGTTTACTGTCCTTTAAATATATCTTCGACAAATGTATGATTTTCTTGAGAGAAAAACTTTAGTATAGGTGATAAAGTGAAGAGCTCTTAGGGGAAATAAGGAATTTGGTCATTAGTTTTAAAAGAACAAGAGATTATGTTTGAGCTGGGGAGCAAGATATATCCCTACTAGATCGACCTACTATTAACGGAAACTCAGTGTAAATTATTTTTTGGGAACTGCTGACTTACAAGGGAGAATAAGGGGGGATCTGGAAAAGTTTCAAAAGCGTCATCAAAGACCGGAAAAATTTACCACCTCCCCTCTTAGTTTAATGGAAAGACAAATAGCAATAAATTAATCAATAAATAAATAAACACATACATAACAAATAAATAAATAAACACATAATAAATAAATAAACAAATAAATAAATAAATAAATAGGAATTTGCAGTGGCATTTCCACGAGGTGGCTCTTCATCCACTGTTTCCAGATCGAATTAGAATTTAGAGGTGTTGATTTTTGTGGAGGGAGGAAAACCGGAGAACAGGTACCCCGAGAAAAACCCTTGGAGCAAGGCCAGAACCAACAACAAACTCAACCCAGATATGTCGCCGGGTCCGGGAATCGAACCCGGGACAATCCGAAGATGAAAAAGGTGTTTTTATTCAAACGTATTTAAAATTATCTTCATGAGGAATAAAAACTGAATTTGCGGTCAGTTTTGTCCGTTAAATTCCTCTGAGGAATTGCAGTGATAGATTTGGATCTACAATTGTAGCTCCTGGGTAAAGACTTGCTAAGCGTGTCTTTAATACTTATTCCAACAACAACACAAAAAAACATAGAAAACCAAACCAACTAACGAAGCGTGCACGTGAGAGCTCCTACAGGTTAATAGACTTAACAATAACGGTGAATGTTTTGACATCGCGCTGATGTGCTTTCTTTCAGCTCAAGCTCTTTCCTGCTATAGCTGTCCCACTGGAACCACCTTTAATGACTGCGCGACTGATCACGTGACCAAGAAATGCTCGGAAGACATAAAGCACTGCATCACAATAAAGACCTTTGTCGAGAAAAGCAGAAGCGAACAAGTCCTTTATCTAGAGAAGGAGTGCGGATTGGCCGTTGCTTGTCAGTCCGATCCCGGCGTCCTCGTGTGCAACATGAAGAACCTAAGTTATGTTGGAGGGGGGCATAAGATGCTCAACTGCACTGCGCGGTGCTGTACCACTGACCTGTGTAACGATGATGACCTTCTACTACCTTCGTCCTCCAAACCTTCTCCGTCAGTCACCACCACTGTAGTGCCCAGTTCTCCTCAATCTGGAGACATTTTAACCACGGCTAAACCTACTGGGTGCGGTTCGGAATCCTGTAACTTGCCACTGCGCATGTCTATCGCTTTCGCTGCAATTTTGCAGCTGGCTTTGCTAAATTTCGATGTGATGTAGAAACTGCGGTAGCGTTCAAAGTGTTGCAAAAAATATTGTAAATAGCTCATTACTGCCGTAACCAACGCTTCTTTATGTTGTTGCCTTCTCATGGTTTAAACATGGACTGGAACATTTTTCCGTTTGTTTTAGTGACAAAATGACTGCTGTACAACAAATGTCAGGCTTACTGATGAAGTAAAATAAAAACTGAATAGGTCTGAATACTGTATAACCAAGAAGTTGTTGATATTTCTATCTCGGCTCCCTATCGTAGCGCAGATAGCTGGACTTTTCAGCCGAGCTCGGTGTGAATCCAGTTCACTTAATATGTCTCAGACCGTCCAAGTTCTATTGAGATCGGGCTTCCACTTTAGGTTGAAATCTTTGAACTTTGTCCATGATTAACAGACTTCTCCGGGCTCTCCGTGTTTAGTCAGCCAGAATTTTCAGAACAAGACTACTGGTTATTCAATTTCCAGTGTTTTGCTTCAGTGTAACTCGTCGTTTTTTAGTTTTAGCAAGATAACAATGTTTGATAAATGTCTTAATAAAAAACAAAGCTACGTAAAAGGTGCTAATTAACAGTTAGCCCCGCATTTACTAGATCTTGGAATCCTCTTCTAATATTCGATCACAGGGCCTTCGTTGAAGCGTGGTTCCCGGCGTGGTCTAAATATGATAGAACCACGGTCTACAAAACCCGCTTAATGCCGACAATAACACGATAAGAACACCCACTTGTTAAACTTTGCTTATTTTAGTTCGATTTTAAGTTTTCTGTGACTTAACGTATTAGCTGTTAAGCTACAGGCCTAACAAGCCCCAATTGCTCCAAGTTAAATAAAGTATCAGTATAAGTATCAGTCCGGTGTTTGATTCCGGTCAGACCTTAGTGCGAGACATTTGCTTTTGCTTTTGAATTGTAAGTCTTTTTATTGATAAGGGTAATTTATTCTGGGAGCCCACCTAAAATGGACCCAGTCTGTGTCAGGTTTTCCTTGCAATTGCCGATTTAGATGTCGTCTGACAAAATAGACGGGATTTGAAAAATAAACTTTTAGTATATTATCAACATGACATACCTCACTCTTGTTAGAGAGACCGCATTTCAGTTGGTCAACAGGCTCATAAACATTTAGCTACATTCGAATACCAAGCGAATCCCAGTGAATCGGAACAAATATCTTGTAAGTTACTCACAGTTGAAAGGTTCGAAAATGATAAAGATTGCTTTGTTGGTAGCCCTCTTAGGATGCACGGTTCAATTTGGTGAGTTTTATTACTCTACGGTTGTTATTGTATAGACTGATACAGCGTATTTTAAATCGACCAGCGTGACCACTAGCTACAGATTATATAGCGTTCTGTTTTCTGTAATAGAGTTTATGCATTTCCAATTTAACGGCTGACTGATGAAAGTTTTACAAGATTCAGTCTTAGATAAGAGAATGTAACTGGAGATTGCAGCGTATATAGGGTTACTGGTGAATGCTGCGAAAATAAGGAATCGACGTGATTCTTGATATTTGAACAATGAATGTCTCACAGACAATATTTCATCGAAACAAACCGATCGATTTTGAGCTAGGTTTCACTGGCGAAAAGCAGCGTTCTGAAGCGTTTCTTTATTAAAAAAGTCTTGCATTTCATTTACGTTAAAATCGTACTGCCATTCAGTTTGTCAAGAGTAATCCTTCTTAAAATTTGAACTTAATATGTGACGTGATCGAAGCGCTGAATTTTTTCCAAACCAGGAAAAACAATATCGAATATTCTAAGAATTTTCCTTCCGCACTGCGTGGAATGGTTTGAAAAGAGAGAAAAATATCGAAAAGAAGTCGATTTTTATGAAGGTTTCAAATCGATTTGTTGTGAAGAAAAGTTATACTTGAATCCGCTCATGTACATAATGTTTTTAGTTCGAGCCGTCGAGTGATCCACATGCAAATACCGTGGGACATTGTGCATAAATTACGTCATTGTCGTAATTGTCGTGTTATGTGTATTATGGGAAAATTTCCGCTTCGTATCGGCTCCTTTCCTGTTCGAAAAAAAGTGCCAGAACGCCGAGAACGGAACATTTTATTCACTACGTACAGTTTAGTTGTTTATTCGACTACTCTGTTCGTACTGGTTGAACTGGCTCCAGTCGTCGTAAAACGGGGCAAATCAGTTTACAAATTAAAACCTACAAAGTAAACAAACCTTGGGGACTCAGGAAGATTGCATTTTTCCTAATGAAGTCGGGATACTGAATTTTTTTTGAGTTGATGTGTTTCTTTATGGTCATCATCTAGCCGTTCGATCGATAGTGTATTGTTATCATATTAGGGGAATTAAGCTGTTGATCACTCTCTTAACCTTTCCATGCATGGTCCTCAGCTGCAACAAGGGAATGCTTTGAATGCCAGTCTCTCAAATCCATGGAGGACTGTGTCCAGTCCATGAAGAAGGTACCGTGCCCGAGGGAAACTGACCGCTGCCGTAATATGACCGTGCAGGTCTACGTTCGCATGCTTGGGGAGAATGTTACAGGCTTTCAGCGAGGCTGCGCTTCGCAAGACGAGTGTGTCTTCAGCCGTTGCGCGGGTCATTTCGGGACGAATTACGGAGAGAACGACAACGCTTACAACGTCTGCAAGATGAGTTGCTGCACAGGGGATTTTTGTCCCGAGGGAAATGTCACCAGTAGTACGGAAGTTCAAATTGGCCCCAACAAAGGAGCACGAAGCGGATGTGATGTCATTCATACCATGAAGTTCTCTTTAGTAGCAAGCATCTCGCTGTTAAGCTTCATCAGGGCACTTCTCCCGTGAGCTATCTTTTTGGGAACAAAGAAGATAGTATAGAAGTAACACGCTGCTGTTTACTGAAATGTGGTGTGCTCGTATATTTTTAACTAGCATTTTTTTCCTTGTCATAATGCCGGGCATAATGTAATCTATTATTAGGAAAATAAACAGCTTATGGAAGTTTTTTCGGAAGACGTACTTTAACTCTCAAATTTTCGTAGAAAAGATATTTTTAAATAACTTAAAGTACATTTTCGTTACAGCTCTTTAATTTATAGCCCAGTTCTGCAACCGCTTTCAGCGACATAAGAATGAAGACAACCAAATTGAGCTGCATGGCTAAAAGTTAGACCTGTATATGAAAAAAGAATAAGATACAGCTGAGATTCTCGTTACTAGCTCGTGTTGCAGATACCCATTTGCCCCGGTGTAATGCTGTGTTTGCCATCCTATCGAATTGTTTTAACGATAAACCGTGCCACTTTAGTTGTTCAGGAACCTAAATGTTGAGTTTTGACCAAAACGACTTGAAAAGGTAGCTTTAAAATTGGTATGTTTTTGCCCAACTTCTGGCCTTTTTCGTTTTATTACTGACATTGACATTTGTGTGACGTAGCTAGTTTTCGCAGACCCGACAGATCTGAATATGTTTCGATGTAATTATCGAAAATCAGATTAAGCCCTATTAGATATTCATTCGGGACAAGCGAGTTGCTCTTTTTTTCGTTTTGTTTTAATTTTTGCGATCCGCTTTTTCAACTTTTTTTTATCAAATTAGGAAAGTAGTATTAACTATGTACGTATGCCATAAAGGCATAAAACTAGAAATTGCGATTCATGTGGGTTCGTTGGAAACTAAAGTGAACAGATTAGTACATAATTTTTTTTGTATTTTCACAGTTGTACGTATAACTGGTCACTGACAAATTTTTGATGAGGTGTTTTTAAGTAATAATATTGCATAAGACTAGTATTGAGGAACAAGATAGTGAATTTTCTAGGGTGATACCCTGTGCAGCACGTGTTTCCGTACAAATTGTCCGCATTTTGACCGCGTGTGAATTAAGGTGGCTCCACAGAGTGCAGTGTGTTTGAGGAAACGATGTAAAACGATCATTGTCAACGTTTATTTTCGTAAACACCTAATTGTATGTGCTTGATTGACGGTTGTAAACGTATACATATGAACGTAGCCTGATTGGTTGTTATTTAATTTTCGCGCGCACTTTAGAACCAATCAGAGCTAAATGCGATGTGAACGCGAACTCTGTGGAGTTCCGTGTTCTTCAGATTGGAATTTTCCGACGTTTTTTTCGAGGGAGGTAACACATTCGTTTCTTTTCTGTTTTCTTTTCTTAACTCGAAAGCAATTTTATTAATAGTTGAAATAAAGTCACTGAAGGTAAAGCTACGAAGAGTCTCTGTTTTGAGTTGTATATTCACCTTTGATATATGAACTACAGGAGGCGCGGTGGTCTCATGGTTAGTGCGCTCGACTCCGGGTCGAACGGTCCGGCCGGTTTCGAGTCCTGGCGGGGACATTGTGTGGTGTTCCTGGGCAAGACACGTTACTCTGACAGTTCCCCTCTGCACCCCAATGCATAAATGGGTACCCGGGCGAACTAAATGCTGGGGGTAACCCTGCGAATGGACTAACATCCCATCCAGGGTGGCGTTGAAATGGTCCTGGTCGCTTCATGCTACAGAAACCGGGATAAACTCCGGCCTGATGGGCCACTTGGCTCGTATATTCACCTTTGCTATGTAAAATTTATTTTGTAACAGTAGATGGACTACTCAGTTTTTGAGCACATATCGATTTTAATACAAATCTGTTTCGTAGACCAACACAAAGTTGACCCACTTATCAGTTAACCACCATCTGGAGCAACAGTAGTTCTTAAGGTCTACGTCAACACATGATCGCGTAAAATAAATTATAACAATAACCGTAAAATGAACCCTTAGTTCATATAGTGATTCAATTAAGAAGGCATTTTATTTCATCCCTCCCCCCCTTTCCGCTTGGCACCTTCGGTATCCATACTTCTCACCACATTTCCTTAATTTCCTAACATAATTTATCACTCAAGTCTCGCATATCCGGAGTCAAGAATCTATAGAAGAACAATGCTTCCCTGTGAAGGCGTTCCCTAAACAGTTGGACTGTGGTTTGTTTTGTTTTGTTTTTAAATCCACGGTAATGAAACAATCACCTAACCGGGAAACGCTTCTAATGTACCCGAAGGTTTGACGAATGGTATTTCTTAGGTTCTATCCCAACGTGACAGAAGCCCTTCTCTCCCCTCCCTCGGCTATTGACTCTGAATTCGGGTGGCTGGGCCGCACGGGAGGTACTACTCTATATATGACGGATAGAACTGTAAAAAGACTTTTTCTTGATGACGATTCTAAATTTTGATCGCATTTGCCATATGCATTACTTTAATACCCCAGTTTCTTCAGCAAGTCCCAGTTGTAAGAATCCATGTTTATTATAAAAATAAAACGGACGAAACCTGCGTTATTTACATGAAATGCACTAATCTAACATGTTTCATAACTATGAAAACGTTATTTGTGTATAAAAAGAAATCTATTTAACGTGCTACTTGGATGATATTCAACACATGTCACAACAAACCTACCAGTTTTTACTAAAACTAGCCAAGCCTATTCAATATTTTAAGGCATGTTATACCACCCATATCAGGTTGTAAGCTATCAACTCGATTGTTCTGTAATGTCTTCATGCGCAGCATGTTTATAATACAATGTAAAAGGTAAATGAACTAGAGCAGTGTACATAAAAACAAAACTAGACTTTCACCAAAGATCTATGTGACCAATCTCATGATTGCACTTGCCCCGCAACCATGAAAAAACAGATTATGAACAGGCAATTTTGGGACGGTCGAGTATACCTTAATAGCGACCGCTGACCAGTAGAACGGTAAGGAAATGTGAGCCACTAAAGCTAAAGACAGCTTCGACTACAAACCAAAGTAAAAAGCTCCTGCTCTGTCTACGTTTGCTACAAATGTCTCTGTATTATTTTTTTCAACATTACCAGATCGAATTTTATTCCGAAAATGACAGCTGCGCTATTTCCCACGGGGTGTTTATGGTCGGGGGTCTGGGGAAGGACTTTTCGTCCAAAGCAAAGCTTGATTACCTGTTTTTCCTTTTTTTTTTCTTTTCTTCTTGACTCAGCACTCAAATCTAATGTATTTTAAAACATAGCCACAAGTTATCAGTCACAAGTGACGTGATAAACATGGCAACATCTTCAAAATCATCGCTTGCAATTACACTGATGTGGGTAATTCATAAATGTGACTCTCCCTTCCATTTAAAGGTGGTGTTGCACGACCAGTCACATGTATAATAATAATAATACCTCTTAGTGGACAATAGGCTGAGCTGTTCTTGTTTCTTTCGATGGCGGAGTAAAGCTATAGCTATAAAATTGCTAATATTGACAGGCTTTCTAAGACCTCTACAAGCAGCACTAGTTCCGAGATCTCCGGTGACAGCCTCATTCTCTTCTAGGCAGATTCAATGGAAACTCTTTCAGTCCAAGGCACTCAAATGCTCCATCATTGACACTCGTCGACCCTTAATTTTATCAACTTCATGAAGAGAGGTGTTCGACACGATTCCACGTGCTTCACAACTTAAGCCATCCAAATATGGCAAAGCACATGGCTTGTAGCCACGTGGACAGGAAGGTTCTGGCCACACCACTTCCCCGAGCTCCAGCCTGAACGTTGCCACCGTTTACCCCGCCAGTACCCTTTCCCTCATTATAATTAGCAATATCGTCATCACTTGGTAACGGGAATGAGCAACCATCTCTCTTCTCGCAGCAAGAGATTTCGCAGTCCTCGACGACGATATCTTTTGGCCAGAAGTTTGGGCACTCCTTCCTCTCACATCCCTGACGCGTTCCACAATGTACTGCGTGTATTTTGGAGGGAACTCTTTTCAGCGTCCCCCTTATCGACTGCGGAATATGATAGGACGCCTTGTACCTAATACAAGCTGGATTTGCTTTCGAGGAATTTGTTGTACATTTTCTGACAAACAGCTCACCGCCCTCTTTACTGTGGCACTTTGTGGGGTCATCTTCATCATATCCAAAACAGGAAAAACAGTACAGGTCTGAGGCGAATACTGCAAGAGAAATACGGAACTTTGTACCGGTGGCTGGAAGCACGGGTGATAACGCCCTAAACAGCCCCTATATCCTGCTACAAGAGGTTTTCGAGGTACATATTTGATCTTCTCTTGTCTGCTAGTATAATGCTAGCTGGGCTGCGTAGCTGTTGGCTCTCGAAGGTTCTCGAGAAATGAGAGAACATTACGGCGAAAATAATACGAGGAGCTGAGTGAGGTGAGAGCCACCAGATCCACAGATTAAATACTCTAAATGAAGTTTAATTATTATAGCGATGCAGGAAATTTAAATCGAAGCTAGCAAACCTCGGAAAACCATGCAGTTCATTGAGGTGATAGGCCTTATTCCTAGGATAATCCCTCTATCTTGTGATTTCTAGGATAGAGGGCCACTGGTTTATCAGTGTCTACTGCCATATGTCACGCTCTCTAAATGACATTGCTTATTTACTAGTTATTTTTAGGCATGGGAACCAGTTCTTCTCAGGATAATCATACCACGCGCGTTGCGTGAATGTTTTTCGTGGAGGATGAAAATGCGTGTAAAGTCAATATCGAAGCGCGCGAAGTCTAAAAATAGAATGCAAATCATTGGAAGCCTGCGAGAGTCAGACAACATAAGCGTGTTCTGAGAGAAATAGGAGGAAAATAAACGCCAAATTTTCTTTTCAAAAATTGTTCAAGGAACACCTGCTTACGCGCTTGAAAAAGCGTCAAATCTTCCACCATTCCGTTTTGTTTGTCTGAGTTTGTCTGAGTTATGACGTCACTCGCGCGCTTCGCTATTGCTAGTCTGCGCCATAAGATTGGCTATTTTTTGACTCTGAAAACGAGAGTGATCAAGAAACAACTTGTAGAGAGGGATATCCTTGGGGTAAAAGCCTATATGGAGAGGGAGAGTTGGTGACTCATCCATTCCCGGTAGGCTTAATAAGCAAACTACACCCCGTCCTATAAGTAGCTCCTTAAACCGAACCAAATGCTTTTAGCTTTTGAATGAAAAGGGACGAAGAAACAAAACTAAGCCCATTCATCACAAACATGTGTCTCAGTCAGTCACTAACATAAAACATCTTGAATTAAAATTACACATTTTGAGACATATGGCTTGATACTCCTGTGCACAATACTGGATAGAACGTTGTGTTTCGTACATGTTCAGATTAACCACAGTAAAAATAGGAATACGGCAGAGACCCGCTTTCCGTAAAGCGAATTTTGCAGCCTTTTCTCCTTTCTCCTTTTAATTTCTTCCTCTCCTTCAGGCCACTACTTCACAATGGTGAGCAGACCATCTCAGACTTGTCGGAATGATAATGAAAGGATCATGAAACAGTGACTCTTATTTTGGTACATAGCTTTCGCGGGGTCGTCATTTTGGGATATTTAACGAGAGTTAGATAATCATTAATTCGCTCGACTCGGTCATTGTGAAGCTAATGACCTACAAACAGTTCAGGTCAGTCTAAACATATTCTGCCTGGAAACAAAATTGGGAGTTGCTTCATTACACACACAAAAAGAAAACTACAGTCAAGGGAGAATTGAGTGTAGAAACTCTCAGACTCTTTTTTAGTTTAAGAATATGCTATAAATGATATGGTTTGGTTCGTTTGGAACTTATAGTTTTAATTGTTCAACGCTTATAACATGCCCGGCATTTCATATTTCGCAACGGTAAAGTGATAACCCAGATTGCGTTTGCTTGGCACGTTTCTCAGAAACATAACAAAGAAAACGTTTCAGAGCACAGTAGCCAGTGTGTGTACCATCTCATTCGTCTTTTTGAGGCACGTATGGGATAAGAATTTATACGGTCGAGACATGCGTGTTGTTTTTACCGTGTTTTGTTTTGTTGGTTATTTTTTGGCCTTTTAAATGCAAATAAATCATCTGCCTGGGAGCATAACTTTCTTCCGTTGCAACTTTGCAACGTTTGTCGTATGCCTGAATTCTGTCAAGTCCCTTTGAAAAAGTGCATTTTTCAAGCCACATCTCCAAGTAGTGAATTATCTGCAGTTGGTCCAAAAAAATCTCGCTCTATTCTATTTTATGCATGGGCGCCAGTCAAAACTACTGACGCACGTCACTAATAATTTAAGGGACAATAAAATTGATGTCATCTTGTTAGAATAATTCCTTGGTAACTGATTTCTTGAAGAAGAATATTCACATCGTGAGTATTAGATATCTGCGCTTCCTCGCAGTTTGCGCAATCGTTTCATAGATCTCTGCACCAGTCTATAGATCCTTAACGCAGGGCTTGTCGTTGCTTTGTTTTGAAATGGGCGCAGTTGCAAAGACCATTTGTTCCGAGGTTGTGATTAGAAATTTCCATAACTTTCCATCTGAGACAAAAGGCTCCCAACGGGAGACATTTTAATATTGTACTTGAATTTGCTAGAGGAGGCTTGAAAAATATAAACAGCTGCGGTAATATCGCATGGATTTTCAAGTATATCGTTCTTTTCCACAATCAGAATTACTACTGACAAAATATAATGAAAACGTTGTCAAAAGGTTTGATCAAATTTCCCATAAAAAGTCAAAATACCGTTATCGCTTTGACTGTAAGGTAGGAAAATTCGAAAGCTCAGCTCAGTAACGTTTCTGAACCAAAACTTTGGACGTGTTGACAGTTCGATCATCTTATATCTCTTGAAACAGAATCGCCGATACTTTGAAACTATTGTATAATGCACTGTGGTCTCGAAGAGAACTGATAAACTGTAACACGATAAAGGTTAAATTGGTCACATTTTCGTCTACAATAGCTTTACGACAGCTCCGCGGAAAGAACGGTGTTTGATTTCACTGAAGGTTTCTTTTTAAGCAAAGTTCCCTGCTAAAATATAACAGCTTCATAATGGTTTCCGTTTACAGAGAAAATTATACAAACACTCAAGAAATTATAAGCGCATATTGTAAAACTATGATGGAATCTTCGTTCTGCGACAAAGTTAAATAAAACCCATCGTCATATAGCACGTCGAATAAAAAGATCTGAGAGGACTATTTTCTGCCTCTATTAAAAATAATTTTGATAAGATATCAAGAGTTAAAATGAACTTTCTTTCTGAAGTAAAACAAGGGAAAAGTTTTGTAAGTGTCAGTGTTAACATGCAGCTGTACTGAGGTCGTGGGAAAGCATGTTAAATATGAATAACATGTTCATAGTAACAACTGTAAATAAGATTCTCTTCGCTTTTGAAACGGCGTTAATTTTTGGCTATTATGGCGATTTTTCTCGATTGTGTAATGCCCGTTTTTCTGCAAAAATTAGATCTGCTCCACAGAGTATCTTGCGTGCTAACCTATGAAATATCCAACACTTGTAAACCTGTATTTACGGACATGTACTAAAACCCATTCCGTAACCGCAAAATTGACGAAATGATATTGGAAGCATTACTGAAACGAACCCGATATCCAGCTCAAACAGATTTCTCAATTAAAATGCACTCATCCTAACAAAACAAGAAACTTACTAATTTGGTCAAACTGATGAGTTCTTTGCTAGAACTTTCTGTTTAAAACGTTGCCTTCGGCTGGTTTTATTTAATGGCGAGAAGACGTTTCCTTAATTATTTAACGTATACATTAAACCGATTAGAAACTATGCAACACGTCTTTCCCTATCACAATCTTCCAACCGGTATCTTGAAACATCATGAATTCCACTAGGTGGTTTTGCAGCGAGTATTTGTTCCTCACCCGCGGTTCCGCACCATCTCGTGTTTCTCACTCGATCATGAAAGAAACCCACTAAAGTCTCAATTACAAACTGCAAACTATTGAATTTAAGTCTTACCTTCGCTGGAAATGTACATCGTTGCGCAGAACGCCGCAAAGAACTCAGTTGCTATGCAGAATCTCATCTTGGGCCGATTTTATCTGACCCTTTGCTGTGACAAAATCTCCGGTGTCTATGTCGCTGATGAATACCGTTGAATCTAGTGCAATCGAGTCACCGGACTGTGGTGATATTTCAACACACCGACTGTTTATAGCCCTGAATGTGACGTCACAAGAGAGAGACAATGCTTCTTTCGTACTTGACGCGTCCCTAGGGATCTCGGGTCTTAAGACGCGTTACAGTCTAGAGGCTTGTCAGTACTTAAGTTTGCCAAATTATTCCTTAGCTTGAATGAACAGCCACTCACAAGGGCTCACTGGATCTTAATGAACGGGCTAAACTGAATATGGTAAATCCAGTTTAATTCAGTTCTACAAATTTGGCTACCGAGGAGACAAAATTTACACGGTGGCATCTTTCCTACGATCACGAGTGACGCACTCACATAGATACAATCGACATGTTGACATAACTTTTTATTACATTACGTTCCTCTTTTCGAAGAAAGCAAACCTGGTGGCCCGTTTCGGCTAACTTTACCCACGATGAAAGCAGATGTTTCCATCCACGCAAATAAACAAAGGGAGTGTTTGGGTTGTTGTCAACAAAATCGACGAACCTTAACTCCCATCGCATTAAGCATGAAAAGTGGTGTTCTTTGTTTGAACAAGTTTGGCTGAGTTTTGATCGAATTTTAAGCCTAAGTTCAACCATGACCAACGGAAAAATATAGACGATGTTCTGCCGTTCTGCAAGACTGTGAGTACCTCTGTGATCGAAACTTGAAAGAAACTGTCAGTGTTGTATTTGGGAAACATTTATTTACAAATTGCAACTTGTTGGAGACAACATTTACAAAAGATGAATAAATTAAAGCTCTCCACGTACAAAAGGTATTTTATTTATAATAACCGAAAGAATAAACGTTGCCTTTTCACACGATAAATTAAAAGAAAACAATAACATGTTTAAACAACGTTGTACTTAGCAGTATCACGCATGAAACATGTGCTTTGTTTACCTCGATAATCTATCACATCTTAATATCGATTTACAATTACTTTAGACTTTGAATAAACAAATCACTCAAAATCCTACAAAATATGTCAACATGCAATTTCCTTCCTGAGAGCGGAAGTCGATGTTCCGTTTCCTTCCTGTGAAGCAAGAAGTATTGAAGTTGGATATCGCCTCGACGTATACTCTAGAATAGTTTCGTTAAGTGCAATTGTAATGAGCTTCAGAGTTATAGTTAATGGAGTGAATAATCAGCTGAGCGTTGAGTGCAAGAGAAAGCACAGACAACTTGAGTAAAGATTTTAAACTTTTCCGCGATGTTATTGACGCTGGATATATTTTATAGTGCCTGTACATTCTGAGCCATTTGCCATTCAAGATTCTTCTGCTTAATCCTTTCTTTTGTTCATAATATAAGCTCCGTCTTTCGTACAGTCAAAACATTTACCCAAACCCTTTGTCTTGAGCACCAGCATTCCATAAAGCGACCATTCCCGACACAAAACTTCCACTAACTTTCGAATTCACGAGAAATTTTAACGGCGACGATCACGAACTTTCTTTTACCCTTCTCGAACTTGTAAGATAATTATCGATCAATACGAAAGATTAAAGGTTAAGTTGACTTAACGAGATTATGACTTTGCCAAAATTTTGTGTGCTTCTTGGGAGTTAAGAAGTCAAAAAAAAAAAAAAAAAAAAATGTTGAAGACATTTTTCCTTAAATAACAGTGGCTTACGGTGATGATTGCTATGTCCAAGCCACATGACAACTGTGTGTCCACAGTGGAAGCCTCTAATGGCTTATTAAGAACCACACATTATTGAAAGGCCTGATCCGCTCTGCTTTCAAATTGATCATGAATGTTCCATTCCTTTCTGTTTGAATGTTGTTCACCGTTGAATGAACTCATACACCAAGTCAAAGGTGAAATGCCATTGCCTAGCAACACCATGACAGTCGCATCAGGCAGCGCACAGGCTGACGTCATCGCCACAAGGAAGAGTTCGCACATCTCTGTGTCTCACACTGGAAAAAAGAGTCTCGCTGGGAGTTTGTTTGCACAGCCGGTAATTGTGTTATGAAGAGTTTTGCGCTTTCTTACTTCTGACATCAATTCGCGGCTTAGAAGGCAAACTTGGTGAGCTGCTTGTCCCTTTATCACGCGACGCAAGTTTAGTCATTCTGTTTTGCGTAGATGGTCTAGTGCGCATGCCAGACGCAGATGGCGTGACGGGTGAAATCGTCAACTTCTTAGCCCCGGATGTGTGCCTTGGAAGACTGCTATTACTGTCTTTGGAGCCACTTGACTCTCTTCCAGAGACATGAATTACCGTAGGAAGTTCACTGTACTGATCAGACTCGTAAGACTTTACAGAGAAAGCAGGCGACGGCGCGCCCCTCTTGTACGAGGACAGCGGTTTTTGTTTAAGAACAAGCTCATGCATAACATAGTTCCGTTGCCTTTCCTTCTCGGCTAAAGCCACTGAAGTATCTTGTTCCGAATTATCAGCACGTTTAAGAACAGAACCAGCCATATTATAAGCCTTCACTGCACGATCTTTTGTCCTTTGACCGGGCAAGCCTCCGAAATCTCGCTCTGGAGTGAAATGTTTTCTTGGCGAAGGAGACTCTAAGCCGTCCATTGCCGTTACCTTTACTAGAACTGGAGTAAATTCTCTTTCCTTTCCCGCTATTGGAGCTGTATCACTAGCTCCATCAGGGCCGCCGTCACGAGGCCTTCCATGAAGCCGCGCACCACATGGTGACTGGATGTCCCGGATGTCAGGTTCGCTGGAAGCCCGCAGGATATGAAACACGCCAGAACGAGGCGACTGTGTGCCATCATCAACTTCCGATTGCCGGGAAGGCTGTCCTAAAAAAGACGAGGAGCCTTTTACAGATTTGTTGTACATGTATATTGGTCCACTTCGCAGAAAGAGAAAGAATTAGCGAAGGCACAGTAATTGTTATATCGCCGGAAGGGATGTCTCACATGAAAGACTTCATAGCCCAAAGGGGAGAGCAAATTGAATTGACATCTCGCATGGCATGGGTTCAAATTCCACGGAACATTTTGTTGTTAATTAACTACTTGTGGCTTTCAATAATAGGTGTATAATTTAATAGGTATAAAAACGCTGGACAAGGTGTAAAATTCAAAGACTTGACTTAATTTGAGCACGCTTCGAACATGCCGCAAGTCTGTTTCGCTTGAATACCCGCGCACTCGTCGCCAGTCGTAGAAATATCAACACTATAGCTTACCATGAGATTCCCTATGTGGGCTCACTGTCCTCAAAGCTTCAGCCATCCTGTTTACCTTCTCCTCGGTACTGGCGGGTGAGCTGTTACCCTCCATTGCAACACGATCCTCTTCAAGGAGTTGCTTCAGACACTGCAGGTAATACTTACGAAGTTTCTTGGCTGTGGAGTGACGCTCTTTCAACACTTCTCCCCTGCAACGAAGTAAAACATCAGAGAGTTTTAAGCAACACTGTTTCAATCTTTGTTTTTATCAGTTTCAGGGCTGGAAATAACAGTCGGTCATCGGACATTGTCCGACCAAATTTTGAATATGTCCGGTCAATTTCACATTATGATCGGACATGATGTCCGAACATTTCACCAACACCTATTGTCGATCCGTAAAATTTGGTTTTATAAATTGTTAAAAAGGCTCGAAGTTGCGACCGGTACGGTCGCCAATGCGGCTAAAATTTCATCTTTGGCGACCAAATAACGAAAATACGTCTGCGTTCACAGGCTACCACAATGGTGACTACGTTTCTCTATGTTGACGGTCAACAACGGTTATTTTCTCGGTCATTATGTCCTTCCATAAATACATAGTGAAAGATCTTTACTTCTATAACATTCAACATAAGAAAAGAAAGCAAATCTATCCTTTTGCTTTGCTGTAGAGGATTCCCTCACCTCGGAAAACTGGCAAATGGCTGATCGTGTTTGAAATCGCCCTTTAAGGTGGCTGAACACAGTTTTTGATACCTGTGTTTCATTCACCTTTTTCTCTAAAACCCTTGATCTCTCGGTCGCAAAAAATGGTAGCAAACAAGTTAACACAGGAGCCATAATTATGGCTCCTGGTTAACAACACACAAACTTTGGCTTTTTGATGGTTAAGCTGACGTATGTGCCGTTGCCATGGCAACACGAATAAAAATAAACAGGCCTTTAAAATAGGTTTTGTTTATTTGTAGAAAATCTAGTCATTAGATTTTCTTTATAATTTGCATGCAACAAGCTTGTAAGGATTCTCACAAGTTAACACCATTTTGCTAATNAGAGGGATTACATGCCCTCCCTTGGACCCACCCTGTTACTTACTTCCTACGATGCACATGGCTAGTGCTTTAAAGACTGAGTTCACGCAGGCGCAATGCTATCTCATGTAATCCCTCTGTAACGCTTTTCAAACACACGGGGCCATCTACCAACACGTAATGCCGATATTAAAATGTAAATCATGGGCCGTCCATACATTGCTCGACATTTGCGAGCCTCAAATGAGAGGCATAATTATGTAAGTTACACATTTTGGTTAAAAATTACAGTGGAGATAGTCTCATGTGTTTTCTGATTTTCAACGGAAGGAAAACAGTTTGTCGCAGGCTTTTCACAGTACGTGGATCTGTAGTTTAAGCTACAGGGTCTATTCATAACTCAGTTGGTATCACTGAAGGTTTATAAATTGCTGAACTATCCTTACGCACTCCGCAACGGTCTGGATCAAAGAGAAAGGCAGAGTTCATGGGAACTCGAGAGTACATGCCCCGATATACTAATTTTCCTGAGGAAACGCTCTATTTGGTAATAACTTAGATAACTTGAAATGGTAGAAGCTTCTCTGTAGGCCAAGGAAAAGAGAAGATGTACTTTTCTTAGCAGTTCCGTTCATGTGGGCCATGATATTTGTTATTTAAGAGAGCCTTTCAGGGAGGGGGTCTGAAATTTTTCCTTGATGCCTTAATAATTTTGCATTTTCTCTCCTGCTCCTCATTCATAGGATGTTCCCCAAAATCTCCACAGAAACGTTCCCTTTATTAATGAAAATCAACCTCAATGCAACCTCCTCAGCCACGGAAATTATGTAAATATTTCGGGCAAGAAAGTCACCGTCGCCCCAAGTCCGAAGGTGCCCGTACGCCTATGGCTATGCCGTTGCCATGGCAACACGAGTAAAAATAAACAGGCCTTTAAAATCGGGTTTGTTTATTTGTGGAAAATCTAGTCATTAGATTTTCTTTATAATTTGCATGCAACAAGCTTGTAACGATCCTCACAAGTTAACACCATTTTGCTAATGATTTAACAGAGAGATCTTTAATTATCCCTTGTTGAAGGTTTACTGGAATATCTAGAGTTTCCTTTGTTAAAGTTCAATTATTTTCAATACGCCAGTTACTTATTTCCTAAAGTATTTTCGTGCCAAATTTCGTGAAATTCTAACGAATGGTTCTCGAGAAATAGGCGTATTTCCAGAGTGCAAATTTTCATTCAATCGCAATTTTTTTACTACGCATACGCTGCATTTAACTGGGTTCTTTCGGTAACAAAGAAAAAGCTGAGAATTGCTGAGTTCCTTGCATCTATACCTTTTCTAACATATATTTGTGATAAAAGACCAAAGCCACCAATACACTGCGTTCAATTATAGAGAAAAATAGCACAGATACTGCGGGTGTTGAGTAAATAAAATGATCGCTCTATTGACGGCATGTTTGTTTTTTGCAATCCTTGTGCGCGCGCTGAATTGCATCAGCAAATGCGCGCGCGAAAACTGTGTGCGGCCACCTTAAATTTATAGGTTATCCTAGCGATAGCGGCAGTTGGCTCGCGATTTGTCAACCTTATATCTTTTTTTTGGAAATCTCATTTATTGGTCAGTTTCACTTAAAGATAACTTAAGGCTCGATCCTAATTTGTGTCCATACACTCACCTCAGAAATGTTCTCATCATTTTCAATCAAATTGGCGCTATAGACTCATATTTACTTATAACTTCTATCAAAAATAGGTATGCCTTTGCATACATTTGTCCAGTACTAGCTGGTTGTTTCTATGCATCTGGAATTGTTGCAGTAATCAACAACGTCATTTTTAGGGCCACTGGTGAGAGATTGTTTTGTTTTCAAAGGCCTTAGTGTTATGTTTGAGATGAATTGATTCTCATTGTGGGGATGTCACACATGTATGTGTGACATATTCACGCATTGCAATTGTCAGAGAGTACATAAGCAACGAACATTAACTACAGACTAGGAATGTGGAACACAACACTTTTAATATATAGATTTAGCCTGGCCTAAAAGCGGAGCTCCTCAGTTATTTAATTGGATGTTGTTAATAGTTAAAATCATTATACATTGTAGTCACCATCTGTCTTCTCATTGGCTAAAAAAAAAACTACAGTTAATTCTGGGAAACAGCGCAACCTACAGATTATTCACTAATCTGCTGGCAGATTAGTGAATAATCTGTAGGTTGCGCGCGCCATCCATGATTTTCAAGAGTAACGTCAAGTTCACGGACAGCGAAGTAAGAACATGGCTTGTCGAAAATAAACTGTGTTCGGTGCGATAATGCGTTTGTCGTTANATCCCTTGTTGAAGGTTTACTGGAATATCTAGAGTTTCCTTTGTTAAAGTTCAATTATTTTCAATACTCCAGTTACTTATTTCCTAAAGTAATTTCGTGCCAAATTTCGTGAAATTCTAATGAGTGGTTCTCGAGAAAAAGGCGTATTTCCGAGAGTGCAAATTTTCATTCAATCGCAATTTTTTGACTTACTACGCATGCGCTTCATTTAACTGGGTTCTTTCGGTAACAAAGAAAAAGCTGAGAATTGCTGAGTTCTTTGCATCTTTACCATTTCCAACATATATTTATGATAAAAGACTAAAGCCATCAATACACTGCGTTCAGTTATAGAGAAAAATAGCACAGATACTGCGGGTGCTGAGTAAATAAAATGATCGCTCTATTGACGGCATGTTCGTTTTTTGCAATCCTTGTGCGCGCGCTGAATTGCATCACCAAAAGCGCGCGCGAAAACTGTGTTCGGCCAGCTTAAAAACCTAATATCTTTAATTCCTAATGGCTAATGTCTCTCCACGAATGCCGTGCCTTAGACATCTCCTCAGGGACCCTGCTTCCGTTAAGTCACAAGGACGACTGTTCCAAAGAATGGCACCACTATAGCTAAAGCTATTTTTATAATAGATTGTGCGCGGCAATGGAACATTTAGTTTATTCTCAGAGAAGGTTATATGCGGTTTCACGTCACTCGAGTTTAGAACTTAGATATTCTGGAGCCACCCGTGGAGAGACTTGTAAACCATCGTAGCTCTTTGAATTTGCTGCTGGTATTTTGTAGCTTTTGTAACTTATTTCGTGAAGTTATCCCAGAGTTTCCCCAAGCAATATATGTTGCAATAGTCAAAGTGTACCCTGGTCCCAGAGGTTTTTCTTGATTTTTCTTCTTTTCGAGAAGCGGCGAACGGCGAGTCGCGAAGCGGTGAGAAAGAAAAACCTCTGGTTGCCCTGGACCTGAATCTCACTTTCATGCAGACACCAGCTGTCAAACGCGTCAAATTGTTAATTACAAAAGGGACCAATGGCAACTTAGCAATCACGTGCTTATCAGCCGCTAATGTTTCCACTCGGGTGGTGAAGAGTGGTATCACTTGACCTACTTGGCCGGGGTCAATGCGCGTGTTTGCGAGAATGCTTTCATCCGCAACGATCGCTAAGGTTCTGTCTTGTTAAACTTTACTACGGAGCATGTTTCTCCACTTCTCGTACTTAAGAAGGCCTCGGGACTTCGAATAGAAAGGCATAAGCTTCTTTGAGCAGATTGTTCTCGTCGACGTCTTCACTGCTCAAACTGGCCTCTGAAATGCCACGGTTTCGCAGTTCGCGGATATGAGAGTCCACCAGAGACTTCAGAGGACACAACCACAATTATGGCATGGTGAGGGTATGAATAGCCTGGCAGGTACAGGTATTTGCAGACATCAGGGAGCAACTGAATCCTAATTGACTTCCCATGTCCAGTTGGCAGTATGCTGATATTCAATCTCTGGAAAACGCTCCTCGAGTACCGAAGTCAAAATTTCTTCGAAGACACTGTCAGAAACATAATCCATGTCGAACACAGGCGAATCTTGAACGAGTATAAACTGAGAACTGAAGTTTTTTGCATCCCTTCCTTGGTAGAGATAGGCAAAATTAACCTCAAGAAGTGCAGTGACAGATATCCCTACCGTCCCCTCGGTATTACCAATCAAACGAACCAATCATATTGATTTGGGTGTTTGTAAAAATATCCACCAATCCGAGCCCGAGGGTCAGATCCTGACCCTGGCGTCTGCATGAAAGAGAGATTCAAGCCCAAGGTAACCAGAGGTTTTTCTTTCTTGCCGCTTCGCGATTCGTGTTTGCCGCTTCGCGGCTCCTCGCAGCTGTCTCATGCGGAGAAAAATCAAGAAAAACCTCTGGGACCAGGGTAGTCAAAGTGAGGCTGTGTCAGAGCTTGATATATTAGATGTAAGGTCGCTTGAGGGACAAGGTGCCTTATTCGTTTTACGGCCCCAATGCCAGAAGCGACTTTCTTTGATACTTTTTCGATGTGGCCACTCCAATCAAGTTTGTCATCGATGGTCACTCCAAGTGATTTTGCGGTAGTGACCTAGTTAAGCTGAAAGTCATTAATTGCAAGTGTCGGAGATTCTGTGAGAGTACGTAGCCTCTGCGTCGATCCGAGAAGCATGAATTCGGTTTTAGTCATATTTAGAGTGAGTTTGTTTGCTATTTAACAAATGGTAAACACCATAGCGTGCACTATTGAGTTATAGATGCACGCGGGAGGTTGCTAGGCACGAAAGAAGCGTAAGAATCGCACGAGGCGATAGCCGAGTGCGACTCTAGCTTCTTGAGTGCTTAGCAAACCTCCCAAGTGCATCCATAACTCAATAGTGCACGCTATGGCGTTTACNCGAAAACTGTGTTCGGCCACCTTAATGCAATGCAAACCCTTGAGCATTAAGTACGTCATGTATGCCTACCGATTGTGTCTTTTGTAATGCATACACAAAATTAGCGGCCAAAAAAGTCTTCGAATATTTTTCTTTACAGATGTTATGCTTTGAATAATTTTCTGAATAAAATTCCACTTGATTTTTATCACTTAGTCGCCAAATGGCTACTCAAGCATTTTTTTTTTAATGTTGGGCCCTTGACTCTGACAGTTTGAGCCACATCCAGGAGCTCATTATGGGCTTCTGCCATATCATAAAGCAGAAGTGTTCATCTTTCCTGTACTCACCCTATTATGCATTGCGATATGCTGTTAGCCCTTCATGTATGTACCCTGGCGTCAATTTTGGTCAGGAGCCCATCACTAGGAGCCTGCAACTCCCATACTAAGCCTATGTCACAGTATTTTAACAGACCGGTCTACTTTTAGGCTTCTTTTCCCTCGAAAAAGGTCAGTTCCCGTCTACATGAGCGTGCATCGGTAAGGGGAAAAATGGAGGCCTGAGGTGGACATGGCGACCTAATCTTCTGGTGAAATTATAAAGTCCGTGCTTGTGATTGGTCACTGAGGCTCCTGCAGGGGCTGAATTCGAGGTAAATTCAAACTAAAAAAGATCGGTTTGTGAACACACCGGGACAGGAATAATTGAGGAAGTTGCACAGTCCTAGTGATGGGTTCCTGCGTAGAAAACTAGGTTTGCTTGAAGAACATATAATCAGGAAATAACCAGGAGAGATTGGTGCGGTCATTTAGTAGATAAAGTCATCTAGTTAATTATAAATGATAAATAAATCAAATTTCAATACAGTTTTGAACGATTTGTACTGAAAATCTTTACAGTATGCTAATAAATTTTTTATGCTAATTAATTATGCTAATCAATTATACAAATTAGTGTCCGGTCAAATTAATAAGATGTCCGACCAAAATGAAGATTTGAAAGGACAATTGTCCTGTTAAAGAAGAAAAATTATTTCCAGCACTGCAGTTTAGCCCAGCGCATCAATCAAAAATTGCGCGCTCAAATCAGTACTGATGGCCAAGCCGTACAGAGAGCCGTTCAACATCTAAAGTTGTTCGCTTTCGAAGTTTTGCGCGCATTGAACAACTTAACACTGAGGCACCTTTGCGGTGCCAGAATAGAATCAATTTAGGTCGATTCTCTGAACAGCAATTCAACAACAAATTACCTCATCTTTTTCGCTGCATTAGACTTGGTTTGATTCACATGATCCAACACGTCATCGCGTATCTTAGCAATGGTGTCCAAGTAGTGCTGACGTAGTTCGTGTAGTCCTCGCGAGGCTGACACGTGATCCAAACTACTGAAACTTGTATCGCTACCGCTGTCCACTTGCAGCACGGTCTAGACGAAAACGCGAGAGCATTAAAAGAATACTATAAACTCTGTTTTGAAAAAAGACAGTGAGTTTTGGTTAACGCCGGAAACTAAGGCTCACCCAAAAATCAGATACAGATACATGTAGTGTAATGCACTGTGTATTTGTGTAGTTCCCAAATTTTGCAAATGAAAATTCAGTGATTGAACTGAAGAACATTCGCCACCTTGGATTTAGCAATAAGGGTTGGGTACAAAAGCATTACACCCAACGCGCGGAGAAGGGATTGTGTAACGCTTTTTCTTCTTCTTTGTTTCCCCTCGCTACTGAATCCAAGATGGCGACCTAACTACTTGTCTGAGCGAATGGGTAACAGCTTAGCGCGGAATGGTGTCTTTCTGGGCTGAAATTGGCTCCCAAAACAAACCGCTGTCACGGTAAACTACTAACTCGTTGTGTCTTAGTTGCAACAAGAACTTTCGAAACAAACCAAAGCGACATTCCAAGCGACAGTCTTAGTTTTTGGGTGCACGAGCTCGTAAGACCGCACAAACCGTGCTCATGATTCATGGCTGTCATTTTAAAACATCCACCGCCAATTCAAACCATCCGAGACATTTTATAGCGACGTAACACAAGATACCTGAGTGGCATAATCCCTCGAGTCTCGCCGTTCGAAGCTGTACTGTGTTTTCTTTCTTTCTTCTGTCAATTCTCTCTTCAGTTTATCTACAGTCATGGCGTATTCCTTCTTTACCGTGGCTAGCTCGTGTTTCACTTTCTCCAAGACCGACAAATTTTCTCCTCTCTCAATAGCCCATATCTCCTGCTGTCGCTTTACCGCGTCATCGCAGCTTTTGCTTATTTCTTGTTGCTGTTGTTTTTCCCACTGTCGTCTGGCATTTTCAACCACTTGTCTTGTTTTCTGCTCACATTGCTTCTGTAGTTGAATCCTGCAAGGAACGGGCTCACATCAACGCTTACCGAAGACAACCAAAACAGTAAACGAAACATTTTATGAAAAGCACACCTCGCATCCTGTTGTTCTTTCTCCCAACCATTCCTGGCTTTCTCTAGTTCAGCGTTCATCCTTATACCCAGATCCCTCTCAATCTGGGCACCTTGATCTGCCCATTTAGAGTCGTATTCACTGCGCATGTGTTGGAGTTGTTTCTTATGTTCTTCCACTAAGCGAGCCCTTTCGTCTTGCCATTTAGCACGTGACGAATCGTCTGCCTGGGAGGAAAATAGAAAGTGTTCAGCAGAACAGAACTGAACTAAGCATTTTATTAAACTTACACTTAAAAGACTCCTACCCTACGCCTATTTAGACAGCTGTAACCCTTACCTCCCAATTTGTCTTTATGTTCTATTAAATTCATGACTTCTGCATCGGAGTGTTGACATCTGTATATTATGTACAAGAGGGCCCAAACGTAGGTAACACAAACGTTAGACTAGTTTTGGTAGAAATAACGTCAAGTGGTACAAAAGACCAGTCAAAACTGACAAATAAGTGTACCTCATGAAAGCTGAGGATTTATTCGTTAAGTACAAACTCACGTTATTCCTTCTCAGTTCTTCTTCTAATTTCCTTCTTTCGTTCTTGAACTTCGCCTCCGCTTCTTGTAGTGTATCATCTACAAGCTGCCTTTTTTCCTCGTCATATTTAGCTTCCAGTTGTTCTCTTAGATCCTTCTCTAACTGGCTCACACGCTCCTCGAGTTCTTTCTCGTGGTCTGCTGCCCATGCCTCTCTGGCAGTAGACAAAGCATGGTCGATCTCTACTTGTGTAGACTGGGCCATATCCCGGCGCCAGTCCTCTCGCGCAGCTGCCAGACGAGCCTATAGAAAAATAAAGGCTTTTACATGTGTCCACACCGGATGAAAAAAAAACTATTTTCCCTTTATTCAAAAGAAGCTTAGAATGAAATAATGAAAATGCTACAGTGTACAGTAACTCTCTGAATTCTCGTGCTCGGGCACATAAAAGGAAGGAGCAAAGTTATTAGTTTCTAAGGAAATTGTTGTGCTGGGTCATAGGGCAAAGGAATTTTTTTGCTCTAAGTGAAACACTGACTAAGGTAAGTATCAACTTGAAGTTTGTAAAGGCAAATTAACCGACGAAGCGAGTTTGTGAAGCTTTGACGAAGGAAACGATCGATACGTCAGCTTCACATACTAGTCACAGCGGTCACCTTCAAGTTGATGAATAGCTAAGTATTGTTCTTGCCTTGCACCAAAATGAAATTGTCTCTCCCTCCCTCCCCACTACCCTTCTATCCTACTATAAATAACCACAAAATGCTTGAAATATAAGCTGCGTTTTCCCCCATCAAAAAAACTCTTGCCAAGCCCACACGTGCCCATTGTAACGTTTAGCGAGGCTCCGCGACCAGTAACTAATCATTCCACCTACCTTAACAATTTCTTCTCGATGTGAAAGTTCTTTGGTAGTCCACTGTTTCCTAGCTTGTTCAAGAGCCTCTGTTAATGTCTTATCTTTAAACTCTTCTAGACTCTTAGTGTATTCGGACTCAAGGTAAGCCATAGCTTCATTCACTTCTTCTCGTTTCTGTTCCTCGGACTCCTCGATCCACGCTTCCTTGGCTTCTTCCAACGTTTCCAGAATTTCCGCTTTCTTTTGTTCCTCAAATTCCCTGAAGATCTCTTCCCTGAGGGAGGCGACTTCCAAGCCTTTCTCCTCCGACAAATGCTTCTCCCACTGCAACTGCATGTTTTGAAATGATATTGAAATGTTTCAAGAAGTATATTAAGGTTTTAAATAGGTTACCCAGGCAAAATAAATATCTAAATCCTACTTTTAATATATATATACATTTCATACGGGAGACTTACGGCCACCGTTCACACAAATTGCAGTGGGTAAAGTCATAACTGAAATTGGATGTCTTATCGTTAATTATTAGAAAGCAGGCATAACTATTATATTCCATTTTTCAACGGCAAAAATTAAACTAGCATCTGTGAACTGCGGCACGTTCTGGCGGGAATCATCTGTAACGGGAGCGAAGCATTATGGCGAGAAAAAACCTGGAGACTGTGACGGATATTCTACCTTTTGTGGGAAGCAACTGGAAGTTGTGGGGAGGGGGAGGAGGAGGGGCCGAAACGTCATTTCATGGCGGAAAACAACTGTAAGATGTTATGGACACGACATACCATGGCGGGGGACAACTGGAAGATGTGACAGACGTGTCAAATGTTGGCGGGAAAACTTCATGGCATACAACATGTGCGATATCGCGGGACACGCAGCGGTTTTATTAGCCGCTTTTCGATTAATGTTCTTACCCGTGCTTCGCCAATAGCCTTCTCCAAAGCCTCTTTCTTTTGTTCCTCAAACTGCTCCACAAGCTGAGAGCTAGCAGATTCCAAGACACGCTTCAATTCGTTCTCCTTTCTGGCAGTCCACTCCAGCCTAGCAGCATCCACCGCCATAGCTGTACACCAGTATCAAAATGGCGATATATTACATCACATGTATTTGATTTGTTGCCGCAAGTTACAACACTTAGCAGTCGAGGAAGGGTAAGAAAACCGGAGACAGAAGTCCTAGTCCCATACACACGCATAATTGACAATTCCTGCTTTAGGAATGCCAACTGTCCCACGGAACTAGCCTAATCCATAAGGACAGCTTGTTTCTTGTACCGAGTTCTTGTTTTAGCCATTTTCACGATCAATTCTTTTAAACACGAACGAAACAAGCGAAAATAACCTCAAAACACATTGTTAGAATAACAGTATCGCTACTATCCGTGAATGGGATTCAGGTTATTACCACCCCCAGCCCCCTCTACCCCCAGCCATTATTTTTGTTAAAGTGCCCTTAATTTCCCAGTCCCCTTAGTCATTCATACTTCTGGATGAAAGAGGAGTGAACAAAAAGAACAACAACAACAACAAGGGTGAGGGCGAGGGCGAGGGCGAGGGCGAGGGCGAGGGCGAGGGCGAGGGCGAGGGCGAGGGCGAGGGCGAGGGC